CCATTCTGGTAACAATGCCCAATTTTAGTATATCTATTAATTTCTTTTGATTATTTCATAACTTGTACTAAAATGGTGATCGGCTAAAGCAGAGCGAGTTTTAGGGTTATCTTTTTGATGTAGTTATGGCTAGTGGGTTATGCAAATATCAATAATATAATTTATGCATTATATAGATTATATATTAAATTAACTCCACTTTAGCCGACCCCCTAAAATGGTAATGATGAGTGGCTTAGTAGCATGGAAATCAGATGAATCACATAAACACCGAGAAAATCACGTATACGTAATTACACAAAGATTGTGTCTTATGACTTTTCAGTGTATACGTTACTTTTGTGGTGTATACACCTAAATTTCCACGTCTACGTTATATTCTCGGTGTAAACACCACAATGGTGATGTCTACATTACTGGAAATTAAAATGTATATAAGGACCATGAATTCAATAAACGAATGGGGAGTTAGTCAATTATAGTAGTTAGTGATAAATAGTTAGTAATTCATGTCTACTTACAATTACCACAAAACAATAAAATATATACTTATCTGAATTTTCTTTGATGCTTTGTCTTTGAATTCGACTTGTAACTTTAATAAACCTATTCAAGACTCAATTCGATGGACTAAATTGACTTGTAACTTCGATTTGGCTTATTAAGACTCAGATTCTAGAACAGTTGTAGAATCAGATATTGCCATTCACAGTAGTGATTTTGAGAATTGTAGTATAGAATGATATTTATGATTGGTTATTTGACCTTGATAATCACCAACATCACTTGATTATCATCTGCTTTTACCTTACCATCCTTGATGAGATATCCTTAACAGCATTACCTGTAGTTGCATCGCCCTATTATCACCTCCCTTAATAATAAATCCTTCATTCCATAGTGTCATATTGTCTAATAGACCTCCAACAATTATAAACGACTCCCTTCATTTCTCCAAGTTTATCATTATCTCACCATATACTGTTGGGGTTAAATTGGCCTTCATTCTACATAATTCTATTAAGCTCTTCCAACAACGGTTATACTAGCATCAGGAAATTGAATAATAATATTACTCATAATTTGTTATAATACTTTACAGGTTTTGTTATTAGTAATTTTTTTGTTTAAAAAGTGATACCTGGCCTCAGTCTTTATTGAATAATTATGCGTTACATTATTTAAATGGGTTACTGAATTATTACAGGGACCTACAGCTAGGACTAATTTATTCTTGACCCAAAGCACTACTAGAGTGGGCTACCTGGCCTTCACTAGATTTAGTTTAGCTATATATGATGTAGATATGTTAGTTGTAGGAAAAACCTTTCCTATTTGTTATATTTAATTGTGCTAATGTGGTGCATAGGAGGGTGAAACAGGATTATTATAGTGATAGGTCTGTGAGGGTTTATTCTGGTGTATACCTTTATAGTATTCAAGCATATTTGTTTGTATATATTGATGGATACCTGTGCAAGATTTTGATAAATATATTATAGTGAATTGAAGTGATAGTCTGGATATTTTCTGGAATTAATCCTTGTAGTAGTAGTGTATTAGGTGTGCCTCATTTGTAAAAAACTTTGTGCTAGTGTTGCTAGATCTGGCAGCTGGGTATCTTGTTTTAAGTAGTACTTTGTAATTGTTTCTATTATTAGTTCATGTAGAGACAGTTAGTTTTTTAAATAGATTAGCTAATAAGTATTGTTTTCAATTGTCTAAATTATCTGTTGCAGGTTGAATTTGTGTATTTTTTTGGGTATTGGTAATATAAACTGAGCAGTGTTGGTAACTTATCTAATAGAAATTTAATTTAAATTCTTTTTAAGTAATAGTTTGGGGTATATAAACCTTTTGTGTGTTTTATTGTCATAATTAATAAATTAGTAGATACTGTTCTAGTTTATATTTTGTTATATTTCTTGCCAGCTATTTGTCTTATTAAGTGAGTATTACTTAGCAATGTTTTTTGTATTTTATAGATATTAAATAAATCAATGAATTTTGTATTTCAATAATATATTATTCTATATAAGATAAAAGTTATTGTTGTTTAATGTATATAGTAATAACTGTAGGGTACTACTATTCGTACTATAAAAAATATTATTCGCATCATGAATTTTGTATTACATTAGAAAATCAATCACTAATTTCTATTTGCACTATTAAAGTAATCATTAATCAACTAACACATATAGCATTTACTAATTTTCTCTCCAAGTTTCTATTTGCCATTAATAAATTGCTCTATTGGAAATGTGGTAGGTGCTTTTTTGTATTTTTTTCTTAAAACTTCTTGTGCATATCTTGCTTCACTGGGTCTTCTTCAGGCTTTACTTTATTGGATCTTGCTTCATCAGGTTTGGCTTCATTAGGATCTTTAGGCTTTACTTTATTGGATCTTGCTTCATCGGGTTTGGCTTCATTGAAACTTCCTTCTTCTTTTTCT